CAGCTATGCTGTATGGGTTAGAGACTGTAGCAGTGAGGAAAAGACAAGAGGCAGAGATGGAGGTAGCAGAGATGAGGATGTTGAGGTTCTCTTTAGGAGTGACCAGGATGGACAGGATTAGGAATGAGCACATCAGAGGGACAGCTCAGGTCGGCTGTTTTGGGGACAAGGTCAGAGAGGCCAGATTGAGATGGTTTGGACATGTGCAGAGGAGGGGTAGTGGTTATATTGGTAGAAGGATGTTGGAGATGGAGCTGCCAGGCAAGAGGTCAAGAGGAAGGCCAAAGAGGAGATATATGGATGTGCTAAAAGAGGACATGAAGTTAATTGGTGTGAGAGTAGAGGATGCTGAGGATAGAGTTAGGTGGAAACAGATGATTCGCTGTGGCGACCCTTAATGGGAACAGCTGAAAGAAGAAGAAGAAGACAGATGGGAGCTCCTTAGGGAAACAACCCAGGGGTACGTTGTAGAGGGTATCTGCACATGAGCAGGTCAGTGTAGTTGGGTTCTTTATTGTAGATACCAAGTACAGTCATCTTTTTAAAATGCCTGAAATGACTGTTTCCAATTACTGCATCCAGTATCTAACCAATATTTTCCAAAGTACTTAGAGGAGGAGTTATTCCTGCTTTCCTCTAAAATGTCCAATTATTACCTCCTGGTTCACCACAGTCTCATTTTCCTCAACTGTACTGGTCTGACATTTAAATACCATTAGTAACTGGTAAATATTTTATCAGTACCTGATAAATTATGTTGAAGTACATTAATTTCATTGGTTTATTTTTTGCTGTAGTATTGAAATTGGTATAGAGTATTGTAGAATTTCAGTGGTATTGGTACCGACTACCAAAATTCTGTTATCGTGACATCTCTAGTCTCCAGAGACATTATGTTTTTGGATTGTGCATGCATCTGTACAAGCCTTGTGAATGTGATATCTCAAGAATGCCTTAAGAAAATTTCTTCACATTTAACACAAATGTCCACTTAGACTCAATGATGAACTGGTTAGACTTTAGTGGTCACAGGTAAAAGGTCACAGTGACCTTACATCTGTCCCATTCCTGTCAATTAATTAATAAAACAAACAAAAAAGATCACAATATTGTTTCTAAATGTAATGAGTTCCTTCATAATGCAATGAACAATATTACTGTAGAAACTAATAGTTTCTAATATTTTTAGGTAACACTGCTTATAACCACCAACTGATTCCATGTTTGGAAAACCAATTAAAGCACTTCTCAACACAACCCCTGCATAATCCACAAATGTTTCCAACTATACAAAATGTTCCCCATGTTTCCACGGTGAATAAAATACTGCCTTTCCTATACAACACTATACAACACTGGCAACTGCTAAGGTTATACCAGATACACCAATAAACTGGTATCTCACTTTCCAGTGTAGAAAGGTTAGTGTTTTGGATAAATGAAGATGTGAACTCTTCTGTGTATGTGTTTGCCTTGACACCAGTCTTACCTGGCGCTCTCAAAAGTAGCAGATGAAGTCTTCCCGATGGCTCCGAATCCAACTCCCACAGCCAAGCCCTCTGCAAGTAAAAAACACAGACAATTGCCCCATGTCTTTGACTTCTCTGAAGCACTCGTCTGTAACGCAGGCAAAACAACACTGAGGACAGGGAAGGGACAACGCTGGCACAAAGTAGACAATAAGAAAATATGTGGCAAAAATATAAAAACTATTACAGGCCTGGAATGAAATGTGATTTACTTCACATAGTACAGGAAAGTTTTGATCTGCTCTTTCAGACAGAACATTGTGAACTTCTTGCAGCAGCTGCCTTGGGGATCTCCAATATAACACATACAGTGTATTGTTTATTTGGTCTTTCCTTCCTTCAATACTGTGGTTTTTAATGATAAAACCTGCTACCGAGGTTTCATCTGCATAACTCCACGAGAAATGAGAAACTGGGTTACTTTGTTTCTATATAGTAGAAGGAATTACACCTTTATTAGCAATTATAAACTTTATGACTGAAACGCTGCACTAAGGTGGATCTCTGCTGCTGTATGGAGCCTGTCTCTGTTCCCTCATTGCATGTAAACCCTGAACAGCATCCCTCTCTTCTGATGCTCCATTTGTCTCATTTGTAATGCTAGTCATGCATACTTTAAATATATGCCAATCACCCTGAGAGTAAAAAGCTCACAGATTGTGATGGATCTATGAAACCTATTGTACGCATGTGTGTATGCACATGCAGTCAAAGCTCTACAGGCTCTGCAACAACAAGCCTGGAGAGGACACTCTCTGAGTAGGGACATAGCAGTGCAGTCTCAGCAGGGAGGAAGTGGGATCAGGAGTAGTAGTTTTACAGGCTAAGACAGCACTTTGGAGCATTGTAGGGAAGGTACAGCATAAACAGGGCAGGTCTGGGAAAAGTACATCACTACCTACTTGGAGAAATGCAACAGCAGCAGACAGGGGGGGGGGGACAGGATATAAATCTGGAGGCTAGAAGAGACTGCTTGATGTGCAAAAGCTGTCTCTCAAGCAAAGCAGGGCCAATAGGTAAGATGGGGAAGTATAGAAAAGAACAACCTTAGCTGCAGGGAAGTGTGGGACATGGAAGCAGGTAGGATTAGATTCATACTACAAACAACTTATGATGTGCTTCCATTTCTCCAGAATCTTAGCAAATAAGACAGGCGAAGACCAGACGTGCCCTTTGTATTCAGGCATAGCTTCACTTTGGCACAATCTAACTGGGTATATAACAAGCATGTCTCAAACAGATGCATCTGGAGACATAACCATGTGCTGAGGTGTTTATCAGCGGTCCCTCAGAGTAAGCACTTGAAGGCAAACTCACTACACAAGTTTTGTTTGTACATGAGGGTGAACAGGTCAGGCACAAAGCAACTGTGACCAGGCCTGACACAGATAAAATATAGCAGACACTGCAGCCAGTTCCAATGAGTGGCTGTGGGTCAGAAGAAAACTGAATGGCCGGGGCAAAGACAGGTAACTTTTAGTGTGACCTCAAGATGCTTAAAACCTCAGACTTCACATATTTTCAGCCAGCTTCCTATCTTTCAAATGTGGAGTATATCAGTTAAACCTGGCTCTGTATTACTTGTGCGAAGACCTCTTTGAAAACACAAGAATGTTCACCAGGTGATGCATTTTGCATCACTCAGAGAAATTCTGGTGCAACTACAACCTGCAGTTCTACATCCCCCTCCCCTCACCCTGTGGCCCAGCAACCGCACACCCCACCTCAAAGTGGGAGCAAAGCAGTTTGTAAACTAGCAGTTTGAGTATAGCAGAAAATGGAGAAAATCAAATTTTATGAAATAATGGTGGAGTTGGACATTTGGGGCTATTTATATGAGCCAGAATGCAACCCAGCGGAGCTTCAGCACACAGAGATGGAAGAGAGTGAGGCAGCTGCAGTCAAGAGACGAGCACAGGTAGCAGAGAAAGGCCAGCTACACTGAACCACCTCGGGCCGGGAATGGTTGGTGGTGTCTTTACGGCAAACGCACACCAATGGACACAGAAACAGAATGACTGTGCTGCAATGAATTCCAATGTGCACAGTTTCTTTTGAATGAAGTTGCCAATTCCTGTGAGGGGGAGCACCAGTATGTGTGACAGCGCACATTAGTTCTGTCCTAACACCATGTTTACACTGCAAGCGTTTCATCTGTTTTTTAGGCACGCAATGTGTCATGCAACCGCTATATTAATCAATCCAGCTGTCTACACCGCCTGCATGTGGTTCTATTGCTTATGTGTGTATCTATGACCTGAAGCTTATAGTAACAAAACACCAGTTACACAGTGGATGCCCATTTAATCACCCTGCAGACTTGCCTGTACTTTCACACACAAATTCATTTTGACATCATGTTACTTTAGCAGATAAGATGAGTCATGGCCCATAATTCATTCAGAGGAGTCACTAATTAGTGGCTATTGGTGAGATTAGTGAAATTTTTCAGTGATGGTGTTGGAAAACTGAGTGGGCCTGGCTCTCAGGTGAAATTGCTTAACAAGCCAATGTAGTTTAAAATTAGCAAATACAATGCAGAGAAGACTTGGGTCTAGTACATAATGTGCAGAAAGTGTCTAACCCTGCATGACGCATCCCTAAACAGCATGCAAGCATTACATTTGCTGCTGCCCACCTGCTCATGTCGTCATGAGCAAGAATGGCTCCTGACTTAAAGAAGAGGGACAAACATATGGTAGTGGTACTGTAAAGTGGGCCACAGAAGAAATTCAATTCCGATGCAGACGTTGCTCCAAACAGATTATGTCTTTGTGCAGTGGAGCAATGTGCCTAAATGAGCTTAGTCAGATGCCACTGAAATCGGGTGCTAATTAATTTTCCTCTAGCAGCTCCTGTGGTTGCTAATGTTACATAGCAAGCTTTAGCAGCCAGCTGGAAAAATCAAAATGATTTTTAAATGCATTGCTAGTATGTTTGTATATCAAAAGGCAGAAATATTGTCTGTGAAGAAAGATCAGAAACGTTTCTTCTGTCTCAGCCAACTGGAGCATGTCGGTGTCTGAAGTGATTTAACAGCAGCCGGCAGGCTGAGCTCCGGCAGGACAAAGATAGACAAAGCAAACAAACCTTTGCTGTAGCCTACGTACATGTATGTATACTGTATTATATAGTAGTAAATGCTTGCTGTGCTTCAGTTCTCTTTTACAGTATGAAGGAATGACTGATCTCTTTCAACCCTCCTCTCCATTCTTGTGTATTTTTCCCAGTATTATTTCTCCTTATCAGTGCAATATTAATAGCGTGCATCCAGCTAGGTGACAGATAGAGATAAGCTAAAAACAGAATAAAAGTTATATGAGGCAAGGAAAACAAACAAATGACTCAAAGGCAAGACTGTAAGAGATCAGTATCCAGATACCAGTGCTGTTGCAGATCCCAGGGGCCACTTCATCACGATGTAACGCTAGTCATTGCACCGAGTGTAGTCAACTCCCCAGTGGCCCATTACAGGTTGACATACTGTAGCCCCATTATGGGCCAAAGCTTCCTCCAGTTACACTGTGGTGCCCATTACCATCCATCTCAGTCCCCTTGAACTATCTGAAATGCCACAAGGCCAGCAGAAATGCAATCTGCCCTGGAAAACCTTCAGCTTTGTTTGAATAAAACATTAGCAGGGAGGGTTTCAGTGTCTGGTACAGCTTGTTCAAGGCTAGAGACACAGTTGGAAAAAAACTATTTTAAAGGTGCAAGACCACAATAATCTTCTTTTCTTCTTCTTGTGTCTAAAGTCCAAAATGTTCACATTAAATGACTGAGCAAAGAAATTGCATTATGCACATACAGCAATATAGCAGAGATAACAAAAAGAGTAATTTATCACAGAGTCAAATAGTTGTATCTTTGCTTTTTTGGACCAAGAGAAAGGTTTTCTCACTTTAGCTGCTTCACAGCTTGAAATGTGAGCTGTGAGTTTGGGAGTGTGCTGGAAGCACTAAACACTAACACTCCTGTCAGGGTTTACTCATGAAACCTGTGTTTTAGTGTCTTTGCTGGCATCTTGTGGCCGTTCAAAGAATATCTGATGGACTTATGGACTTATGGACAGGGCAATTTCAATGCTGTATGACAGAATAAGATCGAGCGTGTGATTAAAAGGGCGAGTGCGCTGATTTTCAGTTTGAGAAAAACCAACTGACTTTAACAGTGAATTAAATGCAGTGTCAAGGTTGTCAATGTCAACATCTATATGAATATTAAAATAACACTATAATGACTATGTGCACTACGCACTAAATCAGACACAGTCTGAGAATTCAGTTAAAACCCCTGAATAAAGGGCAGAACTCACTGGCACAACACAATGTGCAGCATTGTACAGGTTCATAACCCATGGCCCCAGCTGTGAGGAGGAGGAAACAGGACTGACAGCAGAGATGACAGTGATGACAATGACACTACACTAAATACTTTCTCCACCCAGGACCCTTCAATAATGGAGGTCAAAGCTACAGTATGCTGCTTCCATTCCTAGTCAAGTATAGCGCAAGTAAATCAGCCATCAAAAGATCTTCTCAAAGCAGTTGTGAGGATGAGAGGAGCATCAGAGCTCCTTATTTTTGAGCCCCTGCCAGAGCATTTACCTGTGGTTACGAACACATTTCAGCTTGTTGCTCTCTACCCATTATCCAGTAAATGTGCTCGGAGTCTGATGAACAGACTGATGAACAAGAACAGTTTCTGTCCCTGATCCAGACTGCCTGTGGGCTAAGAATAAAGGGGGTTCAACCCACAGAGGTGACTGTTATATTGTCATATAGACCTTGTAAGTGCCAATACCCACTGCCACTAAAGTCTGAAGAAGGTACTGCAGATATTCATAAAGCCCTGTTTATGGGGAGACCTGTCAGAGAATGCAAATGCTTTTGCCTACAACTCCCCCATCTTAACTATACTGAAGGCTTTAGGGGAGTGGCAAGTAGTGCAAAATTTAAGATTGGTCAGTGATGCAGTTGTCAAACCTGTCCCAGTTATCCCCAGTGCTGTCACAGTGACATCTCCAGTTCCAGCAGATACTAAATGGTTGACTGTAACGGACTTGGCTAATCCCCTTGGTTGCATATGCTATTGCCTGTGACACTAATGTGGTGAAAAGTGCTAAATGCCCTCTCATCTTCATTCGCCCACATCACAGATAAAGGAATGGTCAGTCTCAACTCACTAGATCTTTTATACCTGAAATACTTCACAACTTAATGAGTTGTGCAATCACTTAATTGTGCTGGTTGGGAGTTGAGGGTGCGGGAGGTCTCCACCTACAACTGTGTGGTCATAGTATACATGCGTGTGCTTGATGTGAATGTGTGTTTGATCATATCTGCATGTGATGTCTGTTGAGTATAGGGGCACATTCTTCATGTGTATGTTACAATTACTGCATGAGAGCTAGGTTGTGAACAGTGGCCAGTACCATGAATAAAGAGGAGTAAATTTTATCTCAGTCCAGTCTAATAAATGTTCCTAATCTCTTAATCCTCACTTTCTAGCAAACAATCATCCCACATTATAATGGTGCTTTACTGATGGTAATCAGTTAAAGTTTGACATGAAAATCATTGAAACAACTCCATCCATCCATCCATTTTCCTCCGCTTATCCGGAACCGGGTCACGAGGGCAGCAGTCTAAGCAGAGATGCCCAGACTTCCCTCTCTCCAGACACTTCCTCCAGCTCCTCCGGGGGAATGCCAAGGTATTCCCAGGCCAGCCGAGAGGCATAATCCCTCCAGTGTGTCCTGTGTCTTCCCCGGGGCCTCCTCCCGGTGGGACATGCCCAGAACACCTCCCTAGGAAGGTGCCCAGGAGGCATCCGAAACAGATGCCCAAGCCACCTCAGCTGGCTCCTCTTGATGTGGAGGAGTGGCGGTTCTACTCTGAACTCCTCCTGGGTGACCGAGTTCCTCACCCTATCTCTAAGGGTGTGCCCAACCGCCCTGCGGAGGAAGCTCATTTCGGTCCCCTGTATCCGGGATCTTGCCCTTTCAGTCATGACCCAAAGTTCGTGACCATAGGTGAGAGTCAAAAGTAGATCGACCACTAAATCGAGAGCTTCGCCTTACAGCTCAGCTCCTTCTTCACCACGGCGGACCGGTACATCAACCGCATTACTGCAGAAGCTGCACCGATCTGCCTGTCAATCTCCCGTTCCATCCTTTCCTCACTCATGAACAAGACCCCAATATACTTGAACTCCTCCACTTGAGGCAGGAACTCTCCACCAACCTGAAGGGAATAAGCCACCCTTTTCCTGAAAACCATGGCCTCAAATTTGGAGGTGCTGATTCTTATCCCAGCCGCTTCACACTCTGCTGCAAACCGCCCCAGTGCACGCTGGAAGTCCTGGTTT